ACATCCGCGCCATGAGCGGCACTACCTACCACCACCTCCACAACATTACCAGACTCCACCACTGCCTCACCCCTCAGGCTGCCGAAACCCTCACCCATGCATTCGTCACATCAAGGCTCGGTTATGAGAACTACCTTCTCATCGGCCTTCCCAACTCTTCCCTTCACAAGCTGCAGATCATCCAAAACTCTGCAGCTCGTGTGCTCTCACGCACCAGACTCCGTGATCTCATCACTCCCACCCTCGCCCGACTCCACTGGCTCCCCATCCCCCAGAGGATCGAGTTCAAAATCCTCATCCTGACCTTGAAGGCCATCCATGGCCTTACCCCCTCCTATCTCTCCGACCTACTGACTCCCTAACAATAAGCAGGCTCCGGCCTGCTCCATGTCTCCCGCCCGACCTGCCCTATCATTGGTGGCCGGGCTTTCAGCCTCTCTGCTCCCACACTCTGGAACTCCATCCCATGGTCCCTTTGCCTCGCTTCCTCCCTTGCTTCCTTCAAGGCTGGTCTCAAGACCCTTCTTTTCGACCGTGCCTTTGGTCTCCCTCCCACCTCTCTGCCTTCCTTCACCCCTCTCCCATGCTCGGGCCCCGACACCTGACTGTTCAACGCTTTGGGACATCCTCCTGACGTGAAAGGCGCTCTATAAATGTAATTTTGTTTTTGAATTTTGTTGTTGTTGTAATAACCCAAAAGTTCTTAGTACCACAATTTTTTGCACCTCACTCACTGCTTGAATTCACTTAAGAACTCAGAAAAAATCTCAGTATTAAAACACAGCAAATATATATATATATAGTATCTCTTTCTGTAACAAATGGGAAACAATATAACTACAAAGAAAAAGTGAAGCACAATAAAGTCTGTCTGAGTCAATACTGCATATGCAGGGCTTGTGCACGTTTCACTAAACAAAATCCCTCCTTTTGTTGTCAACCTGACAAGTATTGACAACATTGCGTTAAAAACATGAGTGTGAATGAGATAGACTTATATTGAATGCTTTTGAACTTAAGATGTTCTGAAGCAAAAATAGTCTTGACATACTCCAAATTATATTCTATAAACATGTGGAAACTATTGCTAAATCTTGATTGTTATATAAAAATAAACTAATGGGGTTTAACTAGGAAGCCATCTCTGCTTCCAGAAGCCTTCTATAGACATAATCTGAAATTACCACAAAACGATATTATCTTAAAGTGGGAATGTAAACTATGGTTAATGCTAGAAATCTGGAATTAATTCAGAAAATGCACAACTGGTCAATTGTGAGGGAGGGACACATCCAAACTATTAACCATTCTTTCCCTTTGAGTTGGCTGGCTGCGCATTTTGTCCCTATGGTATCAGTAGGTCTCTGACAATGTCCACACAGTAAAGAGTTACAGTTACTAAACTGACTAATGCATTTAAAGAAACAACATCGGAATATATCTTTTTAAGGTATGTGGCAAGCTAACAGGTATGCGATATTAATGACATCATCACCACATCTTACACTCACTAAAATCAGAACTTTTTAAGAAAGAAAAATCATAATAATACTTGAGGTAGTTCAAACCACCGCAAGTAGATTAGTTGTAGTTTGAGTTGATCCTGTGCAACTAACGGGGCAGTGATTCAACACAACCTTCCTGCAAAACATTTCAACTAAATAATGTATCTGTTGGAAGAAACTGTACATAGCTTCAGCTTGGGTTATTCATCCTACACAGTTTTTGATTTTAATGTTTCCATTTTTTCCAATTGTTTCGAATTGTTGATAGAAATAACTAGACATATCATTCAACTGATTGTATTCACACACTGTAACGTCACATCTGGCCAAGGAATAAGAGCAAAGAATTGTGGTTTGTTCAATGAGTTATTACACATTGTAAAGCGTGTGGTTGCACTTCTTATGTTAACATTGATTAAAACTATATCAATATGGTTTACATGTTTATTTGTTAATGATTCTTATTTGTAATATAGTTTGGGAAGGCTGACATTTTGCAAACAATCTTTGTACTTGTTGAAATTTATAAAGTAATGGTTATACATACAGTATTAATAGTTACTTAAACCCCAAATCCAATTTTTCAAGGAAACCTTTCCATTAGTGCAACTTTTAAAAGTGTTACAAAGGTTATTGTTAAATTGAACATCTGCCACTTTGTTCATTCAAATGTTTGCGTTTAAACAGCAACTACGAATAAGATACATTAAATGAGAATCAGTGGGAGCATTCAGTGTCATCTTATAATTGATGATTGTTATAAATGGTTATCTCTGTACTAACTTTAGCCCATTCTAGAAAGTTCTGGTATGCCAAATTGAAATGTATTTGGTATTTGCTGTCTTTCAGGAATACACCACACCATTATATCATTTAAAACTATTTCATCCTTTAAGCGGTACTTTTTTGGGCTTTTAAATGACTCACACTTTCTGTGAGACTGTTATTTATAACAGACATGATGATATCATTTCCATAAATGATATGCACTTCACAGAGTTTGTTTGTCACAACTGAGAACAGACAGCACCGTGAGAAAGGAAAACTTTCACAGCAATGTCACCTCAGCAACTCCACAATTCAGTTCCTACCTAAAATTAATAGTTGCACTTACGGTTCATCATACTTAATATAAAGACAATACTTGATAAGGATCCATGGGAGCTGGCTCACATCCCACCAAAGGATACAGCCCACATCCAACAACAACATGCATTTATGTAGCACCCTTCATGTGGGGTAATGTCTTGGAGTGCCCTCAGCCCACTCATGCCTGTTAGTTATAAGGTCAGCTAATCTTATCATAGATATAATATCCTATGAGTCCTCCTCTGCTTGTCCTAATGTTGAATATTGGAAAGCAATGGGGAAAATCACATGCCATAGTGGGTTAGCATGCTGACTTTTCACCTCTAGGTTCAACTCCAGATCAGATTGATAGAATGCATATCTCTCTGTTGACTATAATAACTCTTTTCCACATTTTTTTAAGGAATCCCAGTTGTATATTATCTATAAATATTTTGCAATACAATTGATTTTTGCCCACAGCACGTTGTATTGCTGAATTTAATTCTGTATCTTCTATAACAGTGCTTATGTAACCTCCAGTATCTACAATGAGAATGGTTAAGCGAGAGAAAGAAAGAACCTTCATTTCATAGCACCTTGTGAAAGATATTGGCTCTTCTTGTAGGCAAACCAGGTAGTGGATTGAGTTGCGTAGAAGGGAGAAAATAACTATACATCCTGTTCCTAATCCCTAGCCAGTGACTCTACTGTTTGTATGTGGTCATCAGGTCAGTATAGGATCAGAGTGAACTGCAACACACTGTTTGAATAGCCTGCCAATGCTCAAGTGTTTTGGTTCACATATGAAGAATAGCCAATTTGGGTGAGTCCTTGCCTTCTGGAAAGAAGGGGAGATAATGGGAGGGGTGGGGTCAAAAACAAAGTTGGCCCAAAATGTAACTGGTGATGTGATGGGATTTGACTTTCAGCAATGTGTCCTTTCCCTTTGTGCCTCTTTACTTAAATCTGTTGTGTAAATATTCAAAACTTTTGGTTGCAATGGTAACACTGCTACCTTTTGTACTTTGTTAGCAAAGCATTAAGAAACCTGAGTGAAGCCTGTTAATAGCAGCAAAGATAGTGCTCGTCAGGTCACATCTATCACAAGTTTGCAGTGAACATTGTTTTGAACACTGTCACCAGTGAGAATATCATACCCCACGCTCTAGTATTGACTGTGTTCCAAAATATAAATGCTACAGGAAAGAAAAAGGTAATAGGAAGTTATCACAAAGGATGTAACAACTCAAAAAGTGTGAGAAGAACATTGTCAGGGAGTATAGCATAAAAAATAAAACAAGTGAGTTAGAAGCACAAATGCAGCTTAAAGGATATGATGTAGTAGCCATTACAGAGACCTGGTTACAAGCTGGGCAGGACTGGGAGCTGAATATCCCAGGTTATAAGATGTTGAGAAAAGACAGGGACATGGGAAAGGAGGAGTAGCAATATTGGTAAAAGATACCATTACAGCAGTGGAAAGGAAAGATTTCAGTAAGGACAATCAGGTAGTGGAAACACTGGGTAAAATTAAGGAACAGCAAAGGAGAAAAGATTCTGTTGGGAGTAGCCTACAAACCTCTGGAGAGTTGTGATGTAGTGGAGAAATGTGCAAATACGGAGATCAGGGAAGCAACAACAAAATGACATTTGTATAGCACATTTCACGTCGGAAGGACGTACCAAGGTGCTGGGCAGTCAGTTTTTCAGACCTGAGATAGGGGTTGGGTTTGGGGGGTGGTGGAGGGCAGGGGGGGAAGCAGGGTGATTGAAAGGCTGCATAAACCTGGATTGTATTCCCTTGAGAGATAATTTGATTGAGGTGTTTAAGATGATAAAGGGATTCGATAGGGTAGATACAGAGAAGCTATTTCCTTGATGGGGGAATCCAAAACAAGGGGCATAGTCTTTAAATTGGAACCAGGCCATTTAAGAGTGAAATCAGGAAGCATATTTTCACTCAACAGGTGGTAGAATTCTGGAATTCTCTCCCCCAAAAGGCCGTGGATGCTAGATCCATCCACACCTTCAAGAGTGAGGTTGAGAGATTTTTGGTAGGCCAGGGTATTAAGGGATATGGGAAGAAAGTGGGAAATTGGAATTGAAAGAATTAGTTGAGGTACAGATCAGCCATGATCTTACTAAATGGTGGAACAGACTCCGGTTGCTATGTTCCTAAAATAATTTAATGTAAATTCGAGCCAGATCCCATCTGCCTGTCTTCATCTTTGCGATTGCTGAACAGTATGTGCTCAAAGCAGGCAAGACTGATCCTTGTGCTTCTTTTCAGAAATTACTCATTAGCACACAATTCCCGTTGATATGCTCTGAATCCTTATTAGAACTACCGGATAATGCTGAAGCCAAGTGAGGTCAAAGCCCATTCCCAAGAGAAATGGACATTTAGTACGTAAAAAGTCTAACCTGCATTTGTTCAACTTCTTGTTTCAAGTGTTCCAGTTGCTGTTTTTTTTGCCAAGGAGCAAAGACACATGATCCCTCTGTGGATGTGTAGTCCAAGGAATTAGTCTGCATCTGGTCGCTGAGCCACATCTGAGTCCTCAAAGATGGCTGATTGGCATCCCACTAACAGCTTGCTGGTGTTCTAAAGGCATAAAACTGTATCTTTGTTTGTAAACCTCCTGATCAGATGGAGTGGGTTTGGTTTCACATAAGGCACTCAATGTTAAATCTAAGGCATTTTTTCTGGGTGTTACAGTGAATGGACGAGTATCTCCTCCATCTCTGCTAAAGTTCTCATATTTATATTGACCAGTCGATACTGATGTCTGGCTTTGGCCAGGCTCTTTAGTGCAAGTGGCCCAGCTCTTAGCATCTCCACAGGTCCTCAAGTGTTCTGTCTTGTGATATGTTAAATTGTCCAAGTCATTTACTCCATAACCACATGGCTTCAAATTATCATTTGTTACACTCTTTAAATTGGTCAAAGAATCTTCCTTTCCACCAGACCCACAGTCCTTTTGACAATTCCCAGAACCGCTCAGTTTGGTCAATGACGACCATTTCCTGATGGATCTCGGGTCTATCATGTCTAACGAAGTGTCTCTTGGCTGGCCTGGAAGGGTCGAAGATGTATTCCATTTGGTGCAGTCAGGTCTGTCCTGCTTTCTGTGTGTCATTGGCGAGGAGGTGGAAGGCATGACATGGGCTGTGGGGATGATAATCTGAGATTTGATTGGTTTGAAGGATGAAGTGCCACTTGAGCTTGAGTGATCTAAAGAGAAAAGAAACAGCATTGTGTCAAAACACAATTGGCCAAAAATAACAGCATTCGCTTTACTGGTCTTGCAAATATGAACCCTTAGTAAAGGCTGACGTTGAAAAAGAACTCCTTTTAAACGGGTTTTGGATTGAAAAAAATGACTCCTTTACAGGAATTTTATGTCAGAAATATTTCCTTTGTAACAAAAGGAATCATAAATGTTCAGCTTTAGAATGTTCCTGCAACTTCATAATAGAGTATACAGAACATAATAATACAGTACATAAACAATCTGTGCATTTGATTTAGTGCCTTTCACATCAGGAGGATATCTCAACTTGCTTCATAGGATTCAAATGTGGTGAGCTTATTATTTACTCGTGCTTTGAGATGACCTCCCAATATGACAGGCACTAAATCAAATACAAGGATTTATTATTATTAAACTAGTAATATTGCTCAAGGTTGCTTAATTTTGAAACAGCTCAAAGTGACCAACAAAAGAGATGTGACTATGCTTACAATATAACATTTCCCTTTTTTGCTGATCTTTTCTCACTTATTCATCCAATTCTAACTTGTGTCAACCATTCAGAACATGGAGAAATTTAAAGGTTACAATAAGGATCCTGAACTTGTTCCACTGGTGGTTGGGGAGCGGGCAGGGCATGACTGTTTGTGGGACACTGATGTGGGGAGCCACATCTCAAAGCACTTTACACAGCTGGCTGGGTACCTGAGCTAGGAGGAGGGGAGAAAGGAGCTGCGGATGGTGGGAGAGAAAGCCTGGCCAAGTAGGCAATCCTTAAGGTGGGCTTCGAAAGTTAGTAGGAAGAGGGTAAGTTAGAGAGACTCCGGAATGGAGTCAAAGTAGATCTAGCAGGAGACATGAAACAAGGATGGGTTGGTAGCGCTGCAGGAGGTCACGGAGGTAGGGTGAGGTAAGGGCATGGAGTAATTTTAATGAGAGGACAAGTATCTTGAATTCATTTCACTGGGGGACAGGGTACTAATGGAGCTGAGCGAGGATAGAGGGTGATAGGCTCAGGGAGTATCTAGCAGGAGAGGATGGCGTTCTGATTGGTGAGCAGTCAACTTACACTCCCTAGATCTCCCCTGGTAAATGCTATCCCATCCGTGGAGTAAATGCAGCTACTATTATTTCCTATACCCCAATACCTTGCATTGACCTGTATTGAACTTTATTTGCTAGTGATTAGCAAAGGTGTATACACAGTTATACTCTGTTCAACCCAGGTGGAATACCCCGTTCAACTCTCTTTCTAAGATCATGGCTGCTTCCTCTGAATACACAAATCCCCCCTAGCTTGGAGTCTCCTACGCTGTTAGATGAAGACAATTTCTGATGAAGGTATGCAAATTGCACCAACCTGCTGTAATAAAACTAGTTTCAAAAGGAATCCTATCTAAGTTATCATGGTAATTCTTGCATTTTATAAAGCGCTGTTCATGTCAGGAGTAATAAAGGGCTTCACAAAATTTACTGTAAACTGTACTGGCTGTGTTTGCAGCAGAACGTGAAAGACTCAAGAAGTGATCATTCTACACATACTGTCCTACCAGAAAGTAACAAAGAAATATATTTGGCTTCCCAATGCACTAACCTCCATCAGTGATGATCTTGTAGTTTTTGGTCTCTTAGTTAACAAAGCAATTGAAGCAACTGGTAGAATTTCTGATTTTAGTTATACAGAAAATGTGACATTAAATTGTCACATCTTTTCAATGGAGTGAGGTGGATGATTGGAAAAAGTCTCCTTTCTCTGCTGGCTGTGATTTCTTTAAATTAATACAGGTTCAATATTATAGATTTTGTTTTTGATCATAACCATGATTAAGATGCCATTGAAACTTTGGTTTTGCAAATAATCTTAGTAAGTTTCAGTACCTAAGTATCTTTATCTTGATTTTTTGTAGCATTAATTTACTGATGTGACAAACATAGATGTGCATGTAACAGAAAACTCGAATGATTTATTTCTAGTGATCACAGTTTGAAAAGTATTTTAAATGGCAAACGTCAAAGCCTTGTTCAAAAGTATTCGGAAAGGGACCCTTATTAGGTTCAATTCATTAAAATGCATTAATAAATTGCATTTATTGACTTAATGTTGAAACTGATGAGTGGAAAGACAAATACCATAATACTGGAAGGATTTGGGGAGGATGAAGAAAAGTAAAAACAGGAATATGAACGCTTTCTCCAGTAGGCTAGTACATTTGTGAATGCCAAAATTTGACCAATCAACTGAATCTTAACTTTAAAATAAAGAAAATATTTAAATGAAGGATAAAATACAACTCAAACACCCAAACAGTATTAACAAGCAAGTCAATTTGAATCTTGTTTTCAAAACACACAGGAGTACAATAAAAAAAACTTTGTTGACAAGCATTGGTTAACATACTATAGACAAAGGTAGTGAACCCAAACACCAGTAAGTTTGCAAAACATATTTATTAATATAAAAAATATAAATTAAAAGTGGCATGCTTCACATCAAGTATTGTAATTACTAAACAAAGCAATATACAATGAAATACATGCAATATACAGATTTTAACATGCACAAAATAAATCCCAACATAACAATTCATTTAAAAAAAACTTAAACAAGAATTACATTCACAAAAATAAACCATGACAAAGAATATATATAAAATAACAAATTAAATATGAACTATTTGAAAGTATTCTCAGATGTTTTCAAATAATGAAGCTACAACCTTCCTTTTCATGCATTTTATTCATTTAGTATAAATGATAATTTAGAGGAAAATAATGATATCAGTGGCCTTTGTAACAAATATCACACAAACTAAATATTTCTTGAAATAATTAGTTAGAAAAATTCAAATTCTAATTTGGAGAGATTTAAAGAAATTGCTTGCTGATTTACAATTTCAAGTAACAAGTAGACTGTACAGAAAGGGAGAAACATTCTGTTTTATTTTGGTCAGCCAGGAGTCTGACACCCATCACCATGTTTAAGAGTATCCAAACCAAACAGAGTTCCATTCATCCCACCTATACATGGAAATCAAGTATGTATATCGTAAACACAAATCAATATGAGCAAATGTTCTGGAATTTAAAAACACAATGAAGAACATTAAATATCAATTTTTTTAAAAAACTAATAGTAAGGTCTGTGACATACATCCGATACTATTCATCCATCACTTTTAGAGGGAAAGAGAACGCTACAGGGAGTATATTCACTATGATGTCTTTGCCGACTTATGTGGTTGGTTTTAAAAAGATCCTAACATTTCAAATGTTATTTTCCTCTGAAGGCCTATTCCATCAAAGAACCTAGATGACTGGTATTTAGTGAAAGTGATTACATTTACCAAGGAGTCAGGGAGAGAGCACTTAAGGACCATGCCCACATGGTATCAGAAAATGGTACTATCATCTGCAAACCCACAAGTGAAACAAGCAAGTTCTCTTTTAGTTCACTCACAACACCATCCCCTGAAAGGAGCCCTGTTCTCACATACCCCTCTATCATATTATATACCTAGGATGACTCACTAGGACATTGTCATTTCTTATGCTGGGAAAACATCTCGCATTCTCTTTGCACCCTCGTCCCATTCATTCAGTAATACCATGAATTAATCACGAGAAATCATAAAACCATGTTTTTACAATAGTCGGTAGTACAGTGTACCCACCAGGAGCTCTGCTTTTTGTTTCTAATGGGAGTCTGCCATCTTTGGTGTAATAAACCCGAAACATTAAATCTAACAGAGACTTGATTAATTTACTCATGTGCAGACTCTGGAGATCTCAATAACTGCAAGCAGCTGTTCCCCATGTAGATTCCCTGCTCAACATCAATAGTCAGAATAGCCGTTTACCAGAATTTTGTTAGGCAGGGGAATCCAGGACATATCCCTAGTTCGTCTTCTCATCCTGCCCTAAATTGACAAATATACAATACCTTGTTGATTTTCGTCCCCCCACCCCCACCCCACCCGTGTGTGCGTGTAGGGGTGCATGTTTCTGCCTATTTAGGTAAGAGAACAGCCTTGCAGCAGATGAGTTATATTATCCTCTGTGCAATGACACTACTTTACACTTTGAGACAGCTTACATGCTAAAGCCAATGCTGAAATTCACCTAAGCAAATTTTTTTGATAAAGCTGTGAATAAGCAAAATGAATGCAAAGGTAGGAGAGCTATTTGGCTTAGATATGACAGCTTGGGGAAGACCTTCACAACGTAATTAACCAATTAACAACTATTTCTTAAAGAAACCTTTGTTCTTTGGAGATAAAAATTTGAATTTAATTGCAGGATTGTCATGCAATGTTTTCCTCTATCCAACCAAATGTTTTTCAACAAAAGTAGTTATTGTGCAGTTCTGTGAAAACTGTATACTGAAATACACAGACATTCATGGAATAAATCAATAACAAGAAATAACTTATTCTTAGTGTTTAAATATTGCATAAGGGTTCTGAGAGTGAAGGTAGATGAAATAATAAAATATTGATTTCATAAGCTTAAATTCTTTCTGGAATTTTCTGGATTGAACGTCGGTGCTCCTTTTACACTGCATGTTTGACAGTGAACCACTGCGAATTTACCAGCTATTCACCACTAGAAGTTCAGCTAAATGGAGAGTTAAACCCCATAAATTGGGCTGGAACTCCTGGCACTACCTAGATGAGGTGGTGGCATCAGGAGTGACGAAATCCATCCCCGTGAAGAATATACCGAGCAGGTACAAATTGAGCTTCTTCTTCAATTCTTTCAAAATTCTAGTTTCTCAATACATTTGTAACACTATTGAAGACAAAGCACCAAATGTTGGTGCTCTAGTCATTCTCCAAGCATGCATATACAGAATGCTAAAATTCAGTATCAGTATATTTTTTTCAGTATCAGCTTATAATACAGGAGTGTTATTGTAGGACTGATCAATAGATCACTGAAACTATCAGCACAGTGTTCAGTAGTGTGCAGTATGACATTCTTCCAGTTCCCAGAATGTCTACTGGCACAATTCAATCTCTTATTAGGAAACCATTAAAAAATAATATAATAATGATCTTTGCATTTGATACAGCATCTATAAAGTTGAAGAGTCTCAAACACTTCACAGCAAATTGCTATAAAATGAAGTGACTACAGGCAAAAGGAGCTAACAATTTATACCCAGCAACAGCCCACAAACAGCCATGAAGTGAATGACCAAATTAACATAACTGTTACCACAACAACAGGAGAAACTTCTCTTTTCAAACAGCATCATTGGATTTTTAACAAACAGACAGGACCGCAGTTTAATGTCTCATCTGATAATAATATAATAATCCTTGTATTTGATATAAGTCCTTTCCAGGTCTTCTAGATGTCTCAAAGCACTTCAAAGGATATACTGTTAAGTGAACTGACTGTATATTTGTGGGCAAAATGTGGCAGCCAATTGCGCACAGCAGTCCACAAACAGTAGTGGACTGAAGTGACCATTTTTTTTTTCTTGAGGGATTATTATTAGACGTGTGGAGTAAGGAAATTTGCCCAAGGTTTCGCCCTGCTGGGAATCAAACCAGGTCTCTCGCTTGAGAGGCGAGTGCTCTAACCACTGAGCTACAGCACTCCACAAATATTCTAAGGAATTCTAAAATAGGCACAAAAAAAAAATCTTTTCTCTATCCCAAAAGTCAATGGACGCCTCTGATAAGCACTCACTAGACATTTCCCTAGACTGTCAGTCTAGACTATTAATCTTAAGACCCAATATTGGGCTTTGAGCTCACAACCTTGTAACCCAGAAGTGAGGGAGGAGCAATTCCAACTGAGCCGCACTGACATCCTAAAATACTAGAAAATCAGAACTATTTAAACATTTCATTAGAGCGTAATCTTAACCAAAGCAGTTGTTTTCTTTAAAATAGGCAAAACACATTAAATGACTAAGTGCTGTGGAGTGTTGGATCAGTTTCACCTTAACAGTTCTGTTCAGGTGGATGCTCACCTCAGAAATCGTTTAGTCTCTTTTGGAGGTATTGGCTGCGGTAGAGGCTTAACGCTGTTGAACCCAACATCGTGAACAGGGGAATTGGGAATTGGTTCAAGGCGGTTGTTTTGCTGCTGTCCATTTCCTACACCCGCAGATTCTACAGCACTTAGATTTGGGGCACTAACAAACCGAGAGGCGATTTTATCATTCTTTTTCTTTTGCTGAAATATTTAACAGAAACAGGATACATTCATAATAAATTCACTGATGTTGCATTTTTTAAATTTAAAATGTTATATGAGGACTCGCAAATACTCATCTAAAAGAGAATAAGTACAGACCACAATAATTTAATGATTGTGAGCAGCTAAGAAACAAGGACTCTTATGAAACACACCTTTGCCAGGGGATTGATGACTCCTACATTGGGGTTAGCATTAAACACCTTGTTGAAATTTGTTTCTCTATTCACCAGTTCCAGCTGGTAAAACTTCTTATCATCCTGAGAAGACATTAAAAATTAAAATGTATCCTTATTGGATATAATTTAAATATATTTATTGAAACATTTCAGAAAAACATAATTTAAGAAAAATAAACACTTTAATTTCATACGGCTTATCATTTCTTGCAATCAGTTATTTTTGTAGCATTCTGACTTTATAAATGAAAATGTACTGATTGCACTATCAACATCTGTTGAGCCTCAGATCTATACACAGTCTAGAGTACAAGAAGCTACATAATATTAATTTATTAATCCTTTCTGCATATAAGCTGTATATAAACGCACCATTAGTTTTTTCATAAGCTGATCCCGTTCTGTAATCATTTCCTTCAACTCATTGATAAATTGTAGATCCTCCGGTCTTGCTTCTCTGTTCCTGTACTTCTCCTCAGCCTCTTCCAACCTAGAAAAGTCAACTACATTAAGAACATTTAAGTAGAGATAATCATTCTGATCTACATAGCACTAAAGTGTCTATTGCCTCCCATCCAAAGCCATGGCATACTCAAGGCAACAATATATTGCATTATAGTGCCTGCCTTTCAAATCAGGAGGAAAAGAGGCAGTGACTGGAAAGGAAAGAGAGAAGCAACAACTCATTTCAGGACCTTGTAAAGGAAGGGATCGTTGGAAATGGGTTGATAGTTTTACAAGAGAGATGGTTGAAGGGAAGTTTTTTTGAGGATGGGGTGCTGACTGTTGTTTTTAAGAGGGTGTGATCAGTGCCAATGGACAGAAGTCCATAATGTTAATTAGTAGGGGGCAAGGAGGTGGAGCTGAGAGTTAAGTAGAGGGTATTGAAGGGGTTAATGGAGCAGGTGGTGGGCGTCATTTGGGAAATGATGGAAGTGGGGTGACGGGGTCAAAGTGTGGAGGGAGGGATAGATGGAAGCTAGGGTTGGAGAGGGAGGTGGCCATAGAAAGGGCAGAGGCAGCAGAGTGGATCCCTTGATTTTGGACTTGAGCAAGTCCTTCACCTCCTCACATTTGGAGTTAAAGGAAGGTTAGGTGAGACATGGGAAGGAGCTGGTTTGGGATGGAGAAGAGGAGCCTGGTCCATAGGCTCCAAGATAATCTTGGAATACAAAGATAATTTAACTGAGGTGAGGGTGGAGAGATAGATTTTGACCTGCAGGAGTAGGAAGTGGTGTAGGAGGTGACATGGGCAAGGGTGTCAAGAGTAGCACAGAGGGAGTTGTGGTGGAGAGTGACTAAGGAACTAAGGTCGTTATGGGAGGAGTTCCAGAGGAGGTGTTCAGCGCTAAGGTGTTCTGGTGTGCTAAACTCGCATATTCTTTCCTGTAATAGCTTAAGCAGAATACCACTACAGATCTAATTGCATATTCTTTCTTTGGTGATTATTGTGAATTTTCTGTCAACTGCAGATCTTGTTTAAAAACATCCACTGCAATAATTTCTCTCTCTTTGTATCTCTTCTCAAATATTGCATCAGAAAAGTCAGTTATCTTTCTTGAATTGACACTAGAGCTATCCACGTAAAAAGCTGCAATTGTAAAACGATAGATACACATACATGTGTTCCGAAACAGAGATTTTTTCCTTCAAGAGTTCCTGAGCCTTGTCAAACTCTGTTAGCATACTCTGCATCTCTCGCATACGGGCTGCTTCCAAGTCTTTAAGCTCCTTCTCCTGCTTCTTATGTATATCCTGTTCATAAGCCCTGTTTATAAAAACAAACACCGTGAACAGAGTGAACGTAAACATTTCTCCAGCTCTCTCTCACTAGGTTAAGACAATTTTACAATAATACACTCCTAATGGTTTCTTAACTTACATCAGCTATCTTTGGTAGTTCTTTGGTATTTGGCACTTTCGTTTGATATTTATTTTGCTATTCCCAAATCATTATAATATTAAAAATATAGCTGGCGTTTTAAAGAATAAGAAACACTATAGAGCTGGGGGGATAAATGTTTATTCCCCTATTACTGAGTTCCCAATTTCTGCTCAATTGCAGGGAGGCACCAAATAGTGGATAATTTTTTAATTAAATTAAAATTTAAAGTGCCAATTGCTCTAGAGGGAATGAGAAAGAAAAAAAAATACAAAATACCTTGTCAATTGGTCTCTTATTTCATTCTATTTCATTTTTTAATTATTAGTTGTTTTGGGTTATGATGGAACTTACTTGATAAAGTGTCAAGAACATTAAAAAAAAATATTTGACTGACATTTATCATCCTAAAGTGGGAAACAGATACATTCTAACTTTATTCACAGATAAAAGGGTAAACGAACAGAAATAACTGAAAGAAAATCCTCACTTTATACAGAATTTTTCTCCCTCTTTTACCTAATTTGCTGGTTAGCTTCACTCCGTATTTTTAGAACTTCTTTCCCTTTCATCTCGAGTTCTTTGGTCAATGTATTTAGATTCTCATGCACAGACAGGTTCTCTTCATCTAGTTCCTTTATACGATGCTCACGGCGTTGCGCTTCTTCTTCTAGCTTAGATATTCTTTCCAGCAACTCCTCCTCCTATATTGTAACAAAATTGGTAAGTGCATACAGCAATACCTTGTCTACTTTACTCTAAGGCCATGCTTCTTTTGTATTTGTTTTGATCTATTGCTATTATTTACAATAGCAGTATACCACTAAAGATTACTTCTGGTGCAGCACTGTACATTTTCCCTAATGTTTTCCTGATTCATCCCTGTACTGGCACTTTTAGACACCTTAATTTTGATTTTTCTCATCTATCCTTCTCTGTTTAACCTTGGTACTTTGTACATGCTGTGCCCCTTCATTGAATTTCTCTATTTTAAGAAAATGCTTCCAGCGCCCTGGGACAGCCTCCCGACGTAAAGGGCACTATACAAATGTAATTTTGTTGTTGTTGAAGACAATGCCACAAGATAAATCCCACTCCTCTCTAAAAGAAATGTTGTAGCTGAGCTAAAGTTAATTTTCTCTGAATAATAACATAACTGGCAAACGTTTAGTAGGTTTATGCCTACAGTGCTGATGAGCAACAGATATGCAAGAATTATTTTTATAGCATGCAAACTGTGCTTAAAAAAAATATTCTAAAAACGCTTGACAGATAAAGGTACCTTTAGTCTGTGTAGATCAATGGTCCAATCCAACTCCTTTCTTGCACCTGCCAGTTCCTGTTGTTGGCCTTGACTCAGCTGGTCTATTGCTATAGCATGTTGATAATTGAGCTCTGAGCGCACAGATGCTGGAGAGACAGTACAACAACAAGATTCCATTTATAGAGCGCCTTTCATGTCGGGAGGACGTCCCAAGGCGCTGAATACAATAGCATCAGCAATGCTCTCATTTGTTTGGAGACCAATCCAGGAACCTAGTTTATATTTTTGGGGTCAGCCTGGTGTCTGTCAAATGTGAAAAACCATGACCATGCTTAAGAATATTCAAACCAAGCTGAGATTTCCATACATGCCATTGACACACGGAAATCCCAGAGAAAGATTGTTGGAATGGAATGCACGTTCTCCCTCTTGAGAGCACATCCTGTTTATTTAATTCCAGAGGTTGGCAAGAGCTAAGGCGTGGAGACCCCAGAGTATCAGATTGTGCGTTGGGGTAAGCCTGGAGTCTAACCAGCTAAAACCGCATAGTTTGCCATTGATATTTCTGCTTGGCAAGCTTTTCTGCTGATTGTCCAGCTAGGATCTCCCTATGTGTTAGGGCTTTGGCTTGCAGGGTTAACCGAGTTCATCAAAATAAGGTTTGAAAAGAAATTGGATAAACCTAACAAAAATAATATTAAAGGTTATGCTGAAGAGATTTGAAAGAGAATGGTTCAAGTAGATTGTTTCAGTGCGCCATTTAGCACTAGCAATGACCCAATGGCCTCTGTCTATGCAATAAACATTCTACAAATTTGATTATATGATCCATTTGATGATAAAATGATAGGTACATTTTCTTTATTGCTCAGGTATGTTTCTATTTGAAAAGAAAGGGATATAGGAAGAAAAAACTTTATTTAATTTGAATCTATTTAAAAAGAGAGATCAATAAAATAGCTCTTATTTTCTAGTTGAAACAAACTGGGAAAATAATCAAAGGATCAGGTAAAGTAAAACCAAAACAATTACCATTCTTCTAAGACCTCTCAGAAGTCTGAAAACCTCTGCTTAGATGTCCTGTTAACCTTCTCTGTTCTTGTGAAAACAGTTTGTTTATTTAGCATAACCCCATCCTTAGTATCATCTGTGTGAGACTAAGGTTATCATTTAACTGAATCTGATATCCTTTCTGCATTGATGTGCCCAGAAATACATGCAATACTCCTACTGCATCCTAATCATTTTTGTGTAAATTTAACCAAATAATTTTCAATGTCTCATATATAAAACCAAATCACATTTTCTACTTGTCCTCTTACCTTTAAAAATCCATATATTCATGATGTTGGTTTTATACATTTCACAAGGATTACTTGATCTGACATCACTTAGAAGCGTATTATGCAAAGATCGTTTCTCATTCTGTACTATTCATTAATGTTCCATTAATTAAAATACTACCTTGCTTTATTGTTTATATGTATGGAAGGCGAGTACACAATAATTTAAAATATTTTAAAATTTGCATCATGTGGTATTGTGGTAGATACTCAAGAATGGATCTTTATACATTATAGTTAAACCTGAACTGTAAATTGAGAAGATTGACAATACATACCAAGTAGCGCTACCCCTTCTTCTTCCAACTCAGTCTTCAGATTCTGCAGCTGTTGCCTTGTTTCCTTTTGCAAAGTCTCTATATTCAGTCTGTGAGTCTCCTTCAATGACTGCAGCTCTTCCATATGTTGCTGGTATAAGCCTTCTTCCATTTCCTGAAAAACAAAGTTAAGAATAGTATGTATTTATTTCCCCATTATGGCTGGGGAATAGAAAGGAATGTAATAATATAATAATAATCCTTGCATCTGATATAGCGCCTTATCACTCTTTTGAGACGTCTCAAAATGCTTCACAGAATATACTGTAAAGTGAATTGACTGTATATTTTGTGGCCAAATAATAGATAAAAGGGCAATACTAGAAACAGACTATAGAGAGGGGCCGATTATTGATATTACATTTGAAAGCAGGGTTTAGGTGGCGGCTCATGTGGAGCATAAACACTGGAACATCAAGATCAACGTCAAGACTTTAAATTCATAACAGTAAAAATCGATCAAAACTTTAAGAAGTCAGTACAAATAACTGGTACAAAGTTGGTTAGGCAAGTGACAGATCATGGATATTCAGTACAAATTTTCAGGAAAAGAGTAGGGAATGGTATTATCACCAGAACAGCAAAATACTCAAATGGGTGGAGGATTGAATACACCTGGGAGTACAAATACACTAGAGGTTGATCAGCAGGTACAAAAAGCAATCAAGTAGATCAAGTTCTGGGATTTATAAATAGGAGTATTGAATTTAATAATAATCCTTACATTTGATATAATACCTTGCATGTCAGGACAACGTCTCAAAGCTCTTCACAGGATAAAGTGTAGTGACAGTGTATTTTGTAGGCAAATGTGGCAGCCAATTTGCATACCGCAATGACTAATTTTATTTGGGGGATTGTTGGCCAGGACACCGGGATGAAATCTCCTTCCCTTTCGAACAGTGCCAGTGGGATCTATCTCCTCTGAAGGATAGCAAATCAAATAATGCAGCACACTCCTAGAACTCTACTTGAGTAGGTTATTAAACTATGAGCTCCATGTCATGGGGCTTGAACCCACAGCCTCATGATTCAGAGGGAGAATGGGAGAAACCGATCCAGGCTGCCACAATAACCATTTTGACCTCAGTGGTCAAACTTTACCCCACTACAGGATTCCCAATATTTCACGATAACTTGGATTAAGATGGCAGCATTATAGAAAATAAATGTCTCACATTGAGCCTGAGGAAGTAGTCAGAGAAATTTAGAGTCAGCCAAAGGCACAGTTGAGAAGACAGCTGATCAAGAGTTTTAAAAACGGGTTGGGGAGTAGAGTGGTAACGTGCCTGAAACGTAATTCCTGAAGACAGGAACCTATGGTGTCTTAAGGTTCAGCCTCTGATGGTAGAGCAGATGGAGAGGGGCGTGCGAACAGAGAGTGTGGTTAGAATGTATGGCTGGTCATGGACAAGTGTTTTTGTTTCACTCCCCAGGGAAAGGCTGGAGAAAACATATTTTACAAAGGGTAGAAACTGTTTTTAAATTACAGGAAAGTACATTTTTACTGCACAAATAAAAAGATTGTAGCAAGAATTAATTATTCAATATTTAACAAGTACAGTATTACAACTTGCCGTAAGTTCCCTCTCTTTGGATTCCTCCAGTTTCCTAATTGCAATTTGATGGGCATCCTCCACAGACATTTGTCTCTGTTTATGTTCCTCTTGCATCTCTTGCAATTGCTGAGTGAGACGTTGCCTTTCATGGTTAAATTGGCATTGCAGTTTCTGCAAGGAAGCTTGAGACTCGGATAGCTGCATTTCCAAGTTTTGCTTCAATAAGGAGATCTGTAATAGACACCATAAACTGAAGATGAGAAGATTTGTACATTTAGAAAAATCAATCAATAATTAAATTACACCAACTTTCATTTAATACAGGAAACAATAATATGTACATTTAAGTTTCAATAACTGCTAGCGAATACAACCAACTGAAAACACTTAAAAGCATTAATTTTAATTAATAATTGGCAGCAATAAAAGTCCTTGGTCTGATTTCCAATATTTTGTGTTTAAGTTGTTCATTCAAAATATTTATGCCAATATATTTTTTTTTCCTCTGCTTGTAAAGCTAAAATAAAGTTGTCCAAGTCTGATATTTTTGTACAAAGTTATAGAGCATTAATATACAGTAGTCTAGAATAGTGGATGATTAGCAATATTTATGTCACAGATGCTCAGTTCCCAATTTCAGCTGCACCAATATGGGGAGAAATATGCAGTCCGCAGAAGCTTTGTCCCCATACTTATCCCTGTGATCACCCCTATTCTATTACACAAACACTAAGAGACCTAAAGCAGAGATGGAAAGAATTACACAAATAGATTTTAACAACTACCCCTCAAAATAGCCAGCATTAATGAAATGACAAACTAGAAAATTTTCCAGATAGATTACAATTTTTTTAATATTCAATTTAGGAACGTGCAGAAATGTAGTCCATTTTGTAAGTATACGTTAATATACAAATGATACGTTCATATAAAAAATGATCAAAATTACAGTAACAGGCATTTTCCATTATGGCTAAGCATACAAATTACAGTACTAGAGAACATCACTCAGCTTTCAATCAAATAGCAAAACACAAGAGAAAAGTTAAAGCAATGGTTGGATTTTCATGCAGATACATGTTACAAATCTACTAATTCATTTTCATGCATAGATAACTTATGAATATGCAGAGATAGCATTTGATAAGGAAATGTAATTTCCTTGTGTGAATTATCTTGATTTGAAAAAATATTATGTATTGATGTTATGAAACACATATTTTGACATATATGATATTGCATCACACTCAGTTTTGTTAAATTATGGGTTTCATTCTGCTTTTACATTTAAAATTAAGGAGATGATCCTCAGCACAAATCACTCTTGTACTCAATTATGTGTCCAATTTTTGTTCTGGGTTATAATCACCTTATGGTAGCATCAATAGGCCTTGTAGATAATTGATACACTGACTGGATCTTAAGCTTTCCTACACAATAGCAGAATCTATTTAATTAAAATGGGAAAATTAAGTCACTGCTCTTCAGAGTTTCTGAAAAATCATCTGCACCTGAACAGTTAAAAATCATTTTAATAATAATAATCCTTGCAATTATTCATTCTAAATAAATTATATACAAAATGGAATGTGTGTTATCATTCAATATCCCATAAGTCTTATGTGTTAGCAAGAGTTAGTAAAAGTGATAGATCTTCATTAACCTCTTAATTGGAGAAAGCAGTGAAGTGAATATTTTACATAGAACTACCCAGAAATGAACAGGATTCTTCATCCATTCATTCAATGGGAACAGAACCTAACATAGTCATCTTATGTCGGGGAGATAGAAAAATGTTTATTCCTAGGCTGTTTCCAACAAGAATTTTTAAATATTAATACACAGTAAGATATGACTTAGAAATACACCCCATTATATAAGTTGTCAAGATTGAATAGGTAAAGCTTTCCCTTTAAAATATGTTCCATTCTTTGTGCACTATTCAAAATTGCATTTCACAGTTCAGATACTATTTGATTACTGGTTTCCTTGCAAATCAATGCAATACATGTTAAGAAAAAACAGGCCTTAAAATAAGCAATTCACACAAATGTGTGTACATGCAACATCTATACGCAGAAGATACCAGACAAGATGATTTACATTTTTTAAATTATAATATTTTTGCAAACTAATGCAGTATATATTGTGATGAATAATAGGTTACAAACAAGCTTCAAGGAATGTAAACATGCCACATCTACACAGCAGGTACCTAGCAGGATGAAAATTGTATCTCACTTACATTACTGATAGATTTTTGTAAAGCTTCACCTAGAAAGTGCCGCTATGAAAAGATCACAGGAATAAAATAACAATTTTCAGAATTCATCAGAATTGGGAAGAAGAAGAAAAGGAAACATAGAAACATTCTATTATTCACTGTTCTTGTTGTATCAGAGTTAATAAATAATAATTGCTTCTGATTTTTGAGCTGAATCTTAAAGAGGTATGTTCAAAGGACTTCAGGCCTTGCCAAAAATTCAAGGAGTCAGCATGGCAAAACACAGCTGTTCTTTTTGGAACATCAATGACTACTGTCACGTCAAGACACTTTCTCTACTATGTTGATATTACATTATATTCCAGGCAGGGCGAAACCTTGGGCAAGTTGCCTTACTCCACACGCCTAATAATAATCCCTCCAAAAAAACAAAACAATAATAAATTGGTCATTTTCAATCTACGACTGTTTGTGGGACATTGCTGTGCGCAATTGGCTGCCGCGTTCGCCCACAAATATACAGTCAATTCACTTTACAGTGTGTTCTGTGAAGCGCTTTGGGACGTCCTCCCGATGTGAAAAGCGCTATATCAAATGCAAGGATTATTATTATTATTATATGTTATCATTCTGGTATCCTGTAGCTCAGTGGTTAGAGGACTCATGTCGCAAGCAGGAAGACGCTGGGTTTGTTTCCTGGCAGGATGAAATGTTGGGCAAGTTTCCTTAATCCACACCCTCTGTTTACCTAGCAGTAAGTAGGAACCCGGTTGTTGGTCGATTAGTGGATCGATTGTTTGTGGGACACTGCTGTGTGTAACTGGCTGCCACATTTCGCCCACAAAATATACAGTTAATTCAATTTACAGTATATTCTGTGAAGCGCTTTGAAACGTATAGAAGACGTGATAAGGCGCTATGTCAAATGCAAGGATTATTATAATTATTATTATCATTAACTATTGGATTGCAGGAAAATGCAGCTAAACTCCAATATTCCCTGGTCAGTTACTTCAGTCTTCAGCTCAAACATTAGATATGGAAATAAATGTTTATTACAGTAATAAACCTACTCGGATACAAGAACAGTTTGCGTACTGTAATATTTGGTAAGCAATGTAATAGAGTAACACTTCCTGTTTTTCTTAAACTATATACATTGATGGGTGGGGGTGGGGATAGGGGGGCGTTGCAGGGAAACATGCTTAACAAGGTAAATGATTTTTCCCATGCATTACCAGCATAAAGTGGTCTCGTTAGGTATGGAAAATTTTAAAAATGAAAGATGAGTCTTTTCACTGCATCAATACATCCCAATTTTTTCGTACAGCCTTTATCATTGTGACATATTCATTTTTCACACCACACATTTCCATGAGCTCTATGTAAGCTTGGCCAATTAATATTGAATAGGCAGTTTTGTGCAGTCAATTTATTGAGCCATGAACTGAGATAAAATCATTATCAAAGAATTTAATTTTTCATTTTTTATATATATTTACTGAAATAATGCTAGTTACAAACCTTAGAATTTAGAAAATAACATTTGTAATGCAACAAATGTAGCATGAATAAATGTATTTGAACTTATTTCAATATGGTCACACATTTTGGGAAATATTAACGTTGTGCTTCAGTGATATACTATACTGGAAGACTTTATTTTGCAATATTCTAGTTTTACTAATTGCTGCTATTTGATTTGGATGTGGTAAGTTGTGAAAACATTTGAGTTATTCTATTGGTTAGATTTAATATTGGTTTTCAGATTCAAGAATGATATGTTTCATTGTTGTAGGTGACTACATGAAGTGCTATTTTTATAAAAAAGACATCAGGCATTTTAAGGCTGTATTATTAATTCACACATATACCATAAACCCACCAGAACATTATTTCATCTATCATTAAGTGGGCGGAAAAGATGGGAAGCGCCAAGTGAATTTCTTTGATCTATAGTCTTCATATTAACATGAACAAACCTTCCCTGCACAATACTGCCATTTTCTTTGAGTAAAATGGATCATCAAAAAAAGGTTATACAGAAACAACCATACCATGTCACGCTTAAAATACCAGAGCTAGTAAAGCAGAGCTAGTTTTTATATCTTTATATCTTACTGCATCTTAAACACCAGAGCTAGTTAAGCAGAGACAGTTTTCTATATCTCATAAATACTGACTATTCTACTTTGTGTACTTTGAAAAGCAGTGCTACTCAATGATAAATTGACCATAATAAATGGCCCATAAAGCATTTTCTGGGTACTCGGCAACTTAGCTCAATGAACACATAAAAGTTTATAAATTTGCCTGATTCAATAGTAAATTATGTACATGTCAATTAAGATTATAATTTTCAAATACATCAATTGCCCCCCCCAATATCTCTATGAAGGATAAATGGCTGTTGACAGCACTGATGAAGCATAACACAACTAAATTATAAACATTTTGAACATCTTTAATAGGCCAAGACCTCTGGGAAAAGCAATAAATATGGGAGTTGTGGGCTATGAAACAGAAGCATTTTTTAACTATTAGGCAAATTATTTTACTTATTCAGACTCTCCATTTGATGTATTGGTTAGTTTATTTTTATCCTTACCTTATATTTTAGCACACTAGAGAAAAAAAACAATCTTGGAAGATTTGAGATCCCACAAATTGTGCTTTTTTAAAAAAAAAACTTGAAGGATATCTGCTTCCATATGTGGGATAAACTGGGCATTCAAATAAGTCCCTTTTTAAAAAAAATTGAATGAACAAGTAATTTATCTGTAGAAGGTAACTTTAAATTCGGATCCTAAAGACTTCACTTCTGTTTCTCATTTAAATTTTCTGTCTTCTTTGGAAGACAGCGATTCACACACATAATTTGATTCATAGCTCTATTACTGCGTTTCGCCCCCAAAATATACAGTCAATTCACTTTACAGTATATTCTGTGAAGCGCTTTGAGATATCTCAAAGACATGATAAGGCATGGTATCAAATGCAAGGATTATTATTATTATAGTAAAGTTATCTGATAACGAACAATGTTCGGTAAAGTAAAAATAGCATATAAATGTGAAAGAATTGCTTCATATCTGAAAAGGCTCACCTGATTCATGAGATCTTCTACCTTCTTCTGCCAGATTACCTTGTCTGCATTAATGTCTTGCTCCTTGAGATGAGAGAGATGCGCTAAAGCAGATCGCGTCTCCTCTGAATGCTGTTTTCCCAATTCTTCACGTAGATTCTCATGCTGCTGCCTAAATGATACACATAACTTATCTTACAAGTGATCAAATACAAATGTATGCATAATTGTATTGTATGAGCACCAATAGCAGGCTGACATTAGTCTAGAAATATTTTGCTCCATTCAAAGTTATCAACCAAACATTTTTCTTGCATAATCAAGAAAAAATATCTGGTTTCAAACTTCAACTTGATTTCTATTTGAATGTCCCACAAACAACTATAAACTGAATGATCAACTTTCTTATTTGGTGGAAGTATTGGCTAGGATAATTCTGATCTGACCATCACAGACAAGGCCATCTCAGACCACTTCCTGATCTCCCTCTCCTCTCACATCACCCTCCCCTCCTCCAAGTTCTCATTTGTGGAGTCCTGTAGCTCAGTGGTTAGAGCATTCACTTTGCAAGTGAGACCCGAGTTCAATTCCAGGCAGGTCAGGGCGAAACCTTGGGCAAGTTTCCTTACTCCACACACCTAATAATAATCCCTCCAAAAAAGAAAAACAATAATTAAATTGGTCATTTTCAATCTACGATTGTTTGTGGGACATTGCTGTGCGCAATTGGCTGCCGCGTTCGCCCACAAATATACAGTCAATTCACTTTACAGTGTGTTCTGTGAAGCGCTTTGGGACGTCCTCCTGACGTGAAAAGTGCTATATCAAATGCAAGGATTATTATTATTATTATCATCTTTATCTGCCCATAAAAAAAGCTTTCCTCCCTCACAATCCTCAATACCCTTGTCCTCTTGAAAACTAGGTCTGTCTCCTCCGCGACCATACCATCCTCCACCAACGCCTCTCCTGCCTCATCCACCTTAGTGGGACCAGACTCGCATGGTTCGAGTCCTACTTAGCAAACTGCCAACAATATATCTCAGCAAATGGTTTTTCCTCCCGTCCCCGCCCTGCAGGGTAATCTAATGCTCCATCCTTGGCCCCCTTCTTTTCCTTATCTACATGCTCCCTCTCAGCGATGTCATCCACAGACATGGGGTAAAACTTCTACATGTATGTGGACGACACCCAAATCTACTTCTCTTCCTCCAGCTGTGACTCCCAATCTGCTGATGTCCTGTCAGCTTGTTTGATGAACATCAAGGCCTGGATGAGCGCAAATTTTCTGTAACTGAATGTCAGTAAGATGGAAGCCATACTCTTTGGCTCCCATGAAAGTCTTCTCTCCTGCGATTCTGAACTCCTCAACCTCCCTGGACTCTCCCTCAGACTTACTGAACCCGTGCGCAACTTAGGCGACAGGTTCGATCCCCAACTTTCATTTTTACCCCACATTCATTCCCTGACCAGGACAGCTTTTTTCCATCTCTGTCACATTGGCGCCGCTGTATGTACCTCACAACGGACACAGCCAAAACCCTTGTCCACACCTTCGTTTAGAATTTAAACAGAGTGATGCAGAACAAACTACCTAGAGAGGCAGTAGAGATGACAGTTCCTGAAATTCTAAAGGGAACTGGAAAGAAGCTTTACAAATGACTCATTCAACGGGTATAAGACAAAGGGGATTGTATTAAACTTTGGGATTCGATATTTGAATGTCAAGGGCCTTTTCCAGTGCAATTCCTACATTCCTAATATAATACTAGCCACAAGTGGCTGCCTTTTTATCTACTACCACTTGACATTGCCTGAAGAGTATTAATTTGCTTAGCGCTACTCCTTCAATAATTTTATTCCACCATAAGCGAGAGGTTCTCGGGTCAGAATTATATGGCATTCCCTCAGAGGTCTTGAGACACAAATTATCTGTTCATTCTATTTCTTCATGGAAAGGATGCTGGCCATTTGGAGAAAATGTCATCTAGCTAGGGTTAGAAAAGTATTCATTCTGTTAGCAACATTTCCAAATTATTTAAGTAATAATAATAATACTAATCCTTGCATTTGATATAGCACTTTTCACGTCTTCTAGACGTCCCAAAGCGTTTCACAGAATATACTGTAAAGTGAATTGACTGTATATTTGTGGGCAAACGCAGCAGCCAATTGCGCACAGCAATGTCCCACGAACAGTCATGGATTGAAAATGACCAATTTATTACTGTTTTTTTTTGGAGGGATTATTATTAGGCTCTGTGTGGAGTAAGGAAACTTGCCCAAGGTTTCGCCCTGCCTGGAATTGAACTCAGGTTTCTCACTTGCAAAGCGAGTGCTCTAACCACTGAGCTACAGGACTCCTATGTCAATAATAAACCCTATGTCAGGAGAATATCCCAAAGTGTTCAGGGGGAATATTGTAAAGTGTAGTGACTGTTTTATGGGCTAACGTAGGCGCCAATTTGCGCACAGCAACGTCCCTTCTACAAACTGCCATGAAGTGAATGACAATTATAAGGTAGGGGCAGTGTTGGCCAGGACATCAGCAGAAACTCCCTTCTCTTTTTGAATAATTCACCTGAACAGGCTAACCTTGCATTTGATATAGCGCTTTTCATGCCTTCTAGATGTCTCAAAGCGCTTCACAGAATATACTGTAAAGTAAATTGACTATATTTATGGGTGAAATGTGGCAGCTAATTGCGCACAGCAGTGTCCCACAAACAGTCGTGGAATGAGTGACCAAATTATTATTGTTTTTTTGAGGGATTATTATCCCTGGAAAAGGGATCCGACAATCGACTAACAACTGGGTTCCTTCTTGCTGCTAGTTAAACAGAGACGTGTGGAGTAAGGAAATTTGTGTAACATTTTGCCCTGCCGGGAATAGAACCCAAGTCTCTCGCTTGCGAGGCGAGTGCTCTAACCACTGAGCTACTGGACTCCGTAAGGTTTAAAGCCTTGGTTTAAAGTCTCATCTGAAGGACTGCACTTCGAACAATGTTGCACGCCCCAAACACTGCATTAGAGAGCCACCTTGGATAATAAGCATCCAGAGTCATTTAAGTAGATCTATCCTTGCAACAACAACAACTACTTGTATTTATATAGCACCCCTCACCCAGGGTAGCATCCCAGAGCACTCACATCCAACAAAGTAAGAAACACGCAACTGAAATTTTTAAACTTGTGTCGGGAACTGAAAACTCAAAGTCCATCATGGGTAACTGTTTTGTGGCATGTTACATAGCCTTTTCCACATTAAAACCATCACCATCTGGCAGATTGGCTTGGAAATAAAACTGTACCTCTAACACTGAGAATTTTGATGTTGCTACAGAAACAAAACAATTTTCTTCTTTGCCACTTAAATTGGTTTAATTAATCCTACGTAACAATGAATATTCAAACAAATATTACATTCTTATGCTAGTTAACTAGCATTAAGGTTGCATTTCTGTAAAACGTTTACATACCTAAGTGTTGCTTTCCATTTTTGTTCCAGATCTTGTTCAAATTTCTTCAGTTGCAGTTTTTCTTCCTCTTTTGCTGTGGTTAGCCTTGCCTCATACTCCTGCCTTTGGTGTTCCAGCTCTCCCTGCAGCACACAAACACATTATTCAGTCCATTATTGCTGTAGCAAGGTCATTGTGTAAGTTGATGCATGGAGAACAAAGAACAATCATCTCAGACATTGTGCCCAACTGGAGTACATTACACAGTGAAAGTTTCTGATCAAAAGCATAAAGCTAATTATAACCCTGAGATTGCCCAATTCTGGTAGCATTGCAGTGTTTCCATGGAAAAAAATAGAACAAAATGTAATTGACTGATTTAATAGAAATTTGCTAACCCAAGTGATTCTTTGTGGGCTGTAAACATCTCCCACACATACACTCTAGAGTCGAGCATATTTCAATGTAAACTACAAATCAATCCTATTAAACTCAATATGTTCCATTACTAAAAGTATTTATGGAGCAACAATCTCCCTCAAAATACACATTGAACGATAACCCCCTGTTTGATCATCAGGAAAACCTATACAAAGCAAAAAAAAAGTACTGCTCATGTCTGAACAAGGAGGGCTCCACCAAAGCTCCTTCAAATTTAATTTCTTGTTCCACTTCTCTTTGATGGTTGCTCATATGTACATTATGAGGATCATATCTTCTTCAATCCCTGTTGTTTTTACCCATTTCATTCTGAAATATGATAAAATAACTTCAGTTTCCTTTCACTTCTAAAATTATACCAAATATTGTGTATTGTTGCTCCATTTAATGGAGTCCATAACTTGGAAAATGGATGCACATCTGACTTGCCTAAATGAAATACAACATTCACTAACTTTCAAATGTGCTACATTCGTGCTCCTTTACCATGGAAGCATTTATATTCCATTTGTCTGTCTTCATCAGTAGACAAGTACTGCATTAAGAACAATGAAATTTTTAAAAAGAGACGTTTTAAAGGAACGAAATTGGGAATCGGGCATGACAAATAAAACTATAGGTAGGCTACTGGTACCTGTGCAGAGGAGAGAGAATCGCTTGTCTCCCTCAATTTGGCCCTAGAATAATCCAGTTCCTTCTGCAGCCTTTCCTGAGCATCTTTCAGGCTGGAAATATGTCCCTCAGCTGATCCTAGGCCTTGTTCACTTTTCTTCACCAGATCTTGTAAACGACACACCTAGCAAAATAGGAGATGTAATTTTCATTTGTTTTCTGAGTGTAGCTTCACAAGAGCAACAAAAAACAGGAATCAGTTGTCACTAAAATCAAAAGGGGCACCTCATTTTAACCCTACTCCTAATAATTTCAGACAACTGCATTGTCTCTACACTAGAACAGAGAAATACTCAATTTCAATGTCATATTCTAGTCATCAGCAATTTTCTGAGTTTAGGTTGGAGTTGGAATATCAGAACATTTTTTAAAAGTTAATCAAGTTTAAGATTAGCAGTATGACTATACTTGCCTCTTGATTGGCTGTATTTAGCTTTGCTGTCAACTCTTCCCGAAGGTTTTCCAGCTGTTGTCTGAGCTGATGTTTTTCTTCCTCCAATTGCAGTCGTTCCTTCTCAAGCTTTTGATCCATTTCCTAGTGGGGGAAAGAAGAGCAAATTTAAATCACCAAGTTAAATCAAGTAATATAAAGGTTGCCACAACTCTGTGACAATGAAATATATTAAAATAACACATATACTTCCAATTCTTGATTTCAAAATTGTTCTTTCAGTTTTCAGGACTTATAATTTCAGTGACTATTTTCTTCCAAGGTATTTTTGTTATTTAAATTAGCAACATCTAGAGTCAAAAATGTCCCACATTAAAATTTCAGTGGGTAAATCCATGATAGGTGTGCAACTGAGACATACACGACACACCCTTTACTTCTTGCCTATTGCATCACCCTCTTCCACCACCCCCCACCGCCCTGTTCATGAGCTCAGTCATGTGAATCTCTTTTGAGATGTCTTCCGCTCATCAAAATGTTATATATGCAAATTATTGTTGTACTTGTCCATAAATTGAACAGGAAATGGACAGGCTGTGCATTGTTTTCAGCTGAGCATTTTATTTCATACTATTAAGTTTTTTTTTACCAAGTTTAAATGTTTTCTGTTATTTAACAGAAACAATAATTGTGGACTTGTATAGCATCTTTTACGTCCAAAGGCAGCTGCAAAGGGCTTCACAGAGTCAAATGGGAGCTCACCTGGGCTCACCTGGGAGAGCGGGAAGTTGAGGAAGGTAGGTGAGAGGGACTCCAGGAATTAAGTTCCAGGGAGCAGGGGTAGAGTGGCTGAATGCTCACCCACTTTGTGCAAATGGCATATATCAATGCTCACAGTAGACACAAAGTACTTGATGGGATATACTGATGACTTGCAAATGAAGCTTAGTATAAATAAATACAAGGCACTGAATGGCGTGGGACCAGAGAGGTCACCTGCGTAACGTGTTAATACTGTAACATCATGACACCTTTAACGAACATTACTTCTGTGATTTAATGCAAGCTGAAAGGTTACTTACTAATGTCAAAAATCAGTGGCAGTGTGTGGAGGATATTGAACTAACAAGAATTACAAGAGTTCAACTTTCAATTGATAGTAGCATTCTATATATATATATATAAATATCATAAATCATTGTGCTGTGCATTGCTAAACATGGAGTATTTAAGAACACACGTAATTACTCCATATTTAGTAATACACCGCACACAATGATTTATGCACATGTAATTTTGGACATTGTGTTTTCTACTGACCGACTGCATTTTTTTTTGTTCTTTTTCGTTTGTTTCATGAAGAGAATCCAGAGCAACTTGGTGTTTTTGGGACAGCTCCGCCACATTCTTCCTGCTGTTCTCTTTTAGAGTTGTTGTTTCATCTTTATGGTTACGCTGCAGATTCAGTATCTCCTTCTCATAATTTCTTTGCTGCATTTCCTTCTCTTCATTGAGATACTAGAAAAAAAAATATTCAATGTTTCTACACTGGAGAAGCCAGCGAAACTAGCTTCAATCTTATCCTATGATTATAAGTGAGAAAGTAAAGCAAAATGTTTTTTGAGCTGGTAACATTATAGAGAATAAAAAAAGCACTTCTTCAATAAAAATGAAATAAATTTGTCTGAAATGTAATGGTCCTTGCTGATCTGCTTTGGGAATCTATTCCCCGATTCATCTGTAATGGATCTTGAAGCTCCCTGGTGCAAAAGACTTAAAATGATGGATCCCTGTGCAGCTGAAAACAAGAATATTAATGATACCTCCTATTAAGCATGGATGTATTTGTGCCACTAAATGACGGATACTTAACAGTAAATACTGTATAGTGTATTAAAAATGCTTTCCCTGCAACATCCTATTTTTTAATAAAAATAAAATATTTATGCCTGAAATTTAATTGCAATAATGAAATCAATGGCTTGTAATGATTCAAATTGTAAATGTCATGACTAAATGTTCTTTTGATATAAATACTGTGCCTACTTGCACTTTCAGCACTTAAAACAAGTGCAATACTAGATGCAATAGTATTTACTAGTAAAGCACCTTATGAGACATTTCAACATGTTTGGCTGCTATAAAAATACAACTTCTTCCATTTTTCTCCTTCAAACTCCAGTCACCATTGTTGGATGACACAAACATTCTTAAAATTCATATTTACAATTCATCTAAAATGTAGTTTTACCTAATCCCATCACTGTCATAACGTTTAGTTTAAAAAAATACATTATTTTCTGAGGGTCACAATAGATTTACATAGAAAAAATAAATCCCCATCCATTCTAATGGGAAGAATATTAGTCGGCATGTAGGACAAGGTCAATGATATTTCAAATGATGCCTTCGGGTCAAACAAGGGGCAACTTTATATGCTTCAAGCTTCACTAGCAGTTCAAACTAGCAGTTCAGTGGAGTCCTGTAGCTCAGTGGTTAGAGCACTCGCTTTGCAAGTGAGAGACCTGAGTTCTATTCCAGGCAGAGGGCGAAACCTTGGGCAAGTTTCTTTACTCCACACGCCTAATAATAATCCCTCCAAAACAAAAAAATAATAAATTGGTCATTTTCAATCTACGACTGTTTGTGGGACATTGCTGTGCGCAATTGGCTGCCGCGTTCGCCCACAAATATACAGTCAATTCACTTTACAGTGTGTTCTGTGAAGCGCTTTGGGACGTCCTCCCGACGTGAAAAGCGCTATATCAAATGCAAGGATTATTATTATTATTAAAACCATTCTGAGCAAATTACGTATTCCTTAGCATGTTGCAACTCAGCTGGCAGTATTGTTCAAGGACATGCAGATTGGCATCCAGTATGCTGCCTTTGGTGAAACAAGTATTAGGCTTAAGAGACCATTTCAACATATATAGACATTGAATTCTGATAACAAATGCGTATTGCATTCCGAAACTCTGATTGTCCACCGCCTTGGGACATCCTCCCGACGTGAAAGGCGCTATACAAATGTAATTTTGTTGTTGTATTGCAGATTATTTCATTACAAGAGTAATTAATATTAATTAGTATATCTTTAAATATAATTAAACATTTATTTTGTATCTTAATGATCATTTTCTTGACCCATGCCATTTTCTATTTATCAACTGGGAATACGGTATCTTCTTAATTTGGCAAGAAATAGGAAGTGGGAAGAAGGAGGCTTCTTTGGAGGAGCAAGCACTGTTACTGTTATAATGTCTCAAATGGTCTCTTAACAAGTCAAGATTTCTATTGTGTCTGAATAAAGTAATCACATTTGAAATTGCCATTTATTGGACCCAAACGTTATTGAATTAGTGTCATATGGCCTAACTTCAAATGACCTATTACAATGGAAATTTAATTGTAAATCTATTACATTACAAATAATCCATTACTATATAAGGTGGTGGTGTAAAACATTGCTGCCATCAATGTTTTGTACAATGTTTCTTCACTTTTAAATTGGTTTTGCATTAAAAACAATTTGGCCTAATTGAGGCCAATTCTCAGCCAGAATAAAAGTCTGAAAGTTTATACCAACAATTAAATCATATTACAGCTCCATTCTTCCTTCCAATCTTCAAAACTAGAAGGCATCATAAAAGTTTACTGTGCCATGTCTATTCAGAAGCCTTAAAAATAATGGATCATATGGTTCAAAATGGTACAATCCAATATACAAAAAAGCACAAAGATATTAGATACATTTTTTATCCATAAACCTCATTTAGACAAAACAAAACTATGATTAGTTTGTAAAAATAAGTCATTAATAATCTCATCCAGAGATTATTCAGGTGATACATTTGAAAACGTAAAATGTCAAACTGTTTTTCATGAATTTTTCTTGGCAAACTTTATGGACAGTTCCATATTTATTATAGTTGTATGAACTATAGTATATTTATTATACATGTATGCATGAAGCTTATGAGAAATTACAAAGACATTTAAAGAAAAACACCTTCTCTAAGGCCAGACGTTGTTGACACTGTCGCTCATCCAAGGTTTGGTTCTTGTTCTGCAAGAGATTTCTCTCCTCTTCAAGATAGGATATTTTCTCTTTCAACCTGTATTGTTCTAACTCCAGCTCCCGAATTGTAGATTCATGGTTCATCTGAGTGGCTTGAAGCGTCCCAATATGACCTAAACACAATACAGTTCAGTATTTGTCCTTTCACAAGCTGAATTAACGTATATCCAGAGTTTTGAAAGTAGGAGGAACAGCAGTTTATATAGAAGTCCTTCGAAAATATTTTCATGTATGTGACAGATAAGGATATGAGACTGAGACGCCGTCCGGCATGGAGGGCGCTATATAAATACAAGTTGTTATTGTTGTTGTTGTTATATGCATTATAAAAGTAAAATTTAGCATACTTTAAAAAATGATAATATTCCAGGATAATCCAAAAAATGGTGGGTGACATTGAGGCTGGTAATCATTCTGTTTTAGGTTTATAAATCACTGTCTTTTGGTGATTTAAGATTTTAACCATTTTAGTTCAGTATTCTACAGGGTATTTTAGATATTGTTTGTGAAGATAGTCATGTGACCAAGTTACAACATACCCCTCACCAGAATAATTGATCATTAATTAGCATGATCACTTGCCTTTACAGGTAATCATCTTATTTTCAATTAAAAAAAGGAACATGTGTAGATGTGTGTATATATATACATAGAGCTATATTAAATTGCCAAAATAATGCTCAAGACTTGCAGTGTAATGTAAAGTGTAACCTCTCCTTCTCCAGAACACGAGTAAAATCTGTTTTGTCATAGTGACCTTGTTAACCAATTTAAAACCAAATATTTCTGTAGAATCAAAACAGCAAAGCCAACAAATGGCAGAACAGTGGAACTGCATTTTTTTCCAAAGAAATAGAGCTCAATTAAAAAAAAGACTTACTTGATTTCAGCAGAAGGTCTGTGCACTGCTGTTGAATACGGTCTCTACTGTTTATCAATTCATCCTCCAACTCATTTTGTTTGACAAGAGCACTACTAGCTTCCTGTTGGCTTTCTTCTAGTTGTTTTTGTAGAATCTGAAGGAATAATAACAACTCTTATGGTCACCCCCCACCTTGCTCGGCAAATTCAGGCCTGCCATACGTCTCTGCCTATCAACAGTGACTGACCTTCTGAAACTCCCCCCACATCACACCAGTCTCGCCCCCTCACCATCCATATTTAAATTCTAACCTAAACATCTACCTCTTTGGCCATCCCCATGGTCATTTCCCCCTCCTTCCTTATTTGGAGTCCAGCACCACCCCCGTGAAGTGTTCAGAAATGTTACCTTTTCTGAAGGGCGCTATATAACTGCAAACTGTTATTGTTCCTGCGAGATTTCTTTAACAGAGATCAGAAGAAAAGATCTTCTCAGACCAAAAGTGCCTAATATTAAACATGTGGTCTTTTTTGAAAACCTGAGTTTTATAAACTACGATGTGCAAATTCCTAGAGTCAGGCTTCTCAGATGAAAATGGAAAATAGATAACCCAATTTAAAAAAAATCTACAGGTCATTTTCTCTGCATCAGCCTGATCCTTGTGAATTCAGAGAAATCGATAAGAATCCATGGCTATAGTAGGTCAAATCAGACTTCAAACCAGATCTGAAGGAGCAGCAAGCAGACAATGACATAAAAGCAAGGAAACGTTGTTAACGCAAAGCAAAACAGCAAAGGATCAGTAAAGTCTTTATTTGGGCCATGCACACGAAACATATGGATTTTCGTACCACTGCATCAGATAAAAATAATTTAAAAAATAACATTTTTCAGTTAAAAAAAAGCAGTTTACTGAGGAGAAATTAAAAAAATTCCTGCACTCAATTAAAATTAAGGACAATAGAGATTAAATGCTGAAAGGCTGGAGGGAGAAACTGTTCTGAAGTTAGGAAGTGTTCAATGATAATTAAGGAATGGAATGCATTTAAAGATATTGCAAATTTGTATCGCACAAGGCTAACACACAAAGTGGAGCTTTGCCATTACAATCAGTGCAAATTATCATGTGAACTAGAAAGGGTTTACAGCTTTTTTTTTTTGAGTCAATTATATTGATTTTAATTCTTACCTGCATGTGACTTTTGGATCTTTCTAATGCATGCTGAAGCTGTTGGCACTGGCTGCTCAACTGATGGGCCTCCTCCTGAGCAATCTTCAAGTCCATCTGCAGCTTCCCCAATTCCTTCTTCAAAGCAGCCTCTTGGGTTTGAAACTCAATTTTTAGTTCCGTGTCCTTCTGCTTCCACAGAAGCAAACTCTCAGAGGACAACTTCTGAGATTGTTTTAAGGCTTCAAGTTCATGTTCATAGAAGGCCTGAGCTTTCCTCAATTTGGCTTCAAATTCATCCACTAGTTTTACTTTCTCAAGTTTAAATTCCTCAATTTTGTTGTTCAGAGCATCCAGTTCAGCCTGGTGTACTTGTTCTAACTTCCCCTTTTCTTTATTTAAAGTATCATACTGATTGTGGTGTGTCCTTAAGAGCTCCTGGATCTCTAGTTTGTGCATTGTCTGCAGGTCTTCAAGAGTTACCTCATTATGCTGCTTAAATTGGAATTCTAACTGCATGAAATGCTGCAACTTTTCCTCAAAGGTTTTTTTCATTTCTTGTATCTCCCTGGACATGACCACTACACCTTGCAAGTGATTGGTTTCCATCCTAAGTTGTGCTTCTTCAACCTTCTGCTTGTAAGCTCCAAATTCTGCAAGCACTTGCTGTTTCACTTTCTCATGCTGTTCCAACGACTCTTCCAGTGACTGAATTCTCTTTCGGACTTCTACTTCCTCACTAATTTTGCTTTTATACTGAAGAATCTTCTCCCTAGTCTCAATAAGAATTTTTTGGATTTCTTCCTCATGAGCTTCTTTAAGTGTCTGGATAGCAACCTCATGTTCATCATTTTTAGTATTTAAAGCGTAGATCACCTACAAAACAAAACCAAATTAATTGTTTCTTTTCTTGAGATTCAAACAGAAATCATACAATCCAGTACTTAACATATCCATGAAGGAACTATGTCAAATCCATTTAAAACAATGACAGATTTAAATCTTTGGTTTTCTCCTTCCACATGATTTAACAGATCGAATACGACAAAGTTGTACATCAGCATTAACTACTCCTCATTTATGCATACTTAAGTACATAATTGACAGGTGAAAGGTTATTCCATTTTATTTGCTAATTCAATGAAACAAAATCTTCATGTCCGCAGCTAGGGTACAAGTTAGGAAGGGATGTGTACCCTAGCTGTGGACGGTAAGATGGTAGCAATGCTCTCACGCATTTCATGCTGAGCTGTGTTGCCCACCGGGAAGCTTGTAGGGAGTTACTGGTACTTCATCTACCTAGTGAGGGCTCAAACCGGCACTTGTCAGATGTTAAATGACTAACAAGTGACTAACTCTTTGAGGGGGGAAACTAAGCAGGGTCTCCTTGGAGCTGAACTGGCTTCAGAGTGACAGGGGTATGGACTTTAATATGGGTAAGAATACGAGCGGCAGAGTTCTAGATCAGTCGTAGGTTGTGGGTGGTGGAGAGACCGTCGAAGAAGGCATTGAAATAGTCTAGGTGGGAGGTAACAAAGGCGCAGACAAGGATTTTGGCTGTGTTGGGGATGAAGTACGGTCGGAGCGGACAATGTGACGGAAGTGGAATCGAGCCAGCCCTCCGTGACGGTTTCAGTAGTCTGGTTCCTAAACCAGACGGGTTCGCAGTATTCCAGGGCACTGTTGATGACAGCACATCCAGCCTGGCTCATCGGCAAGTTATGGAAGGGCAGATCAGTCACTTGGGGCAGGGAAACCCAATGCTGTCCACAAGCATGCTTGCAAATCAACAAAAACAGAATTTTCAGAAAGAAATGGTGAGGTAAAAGAAAAAGTTCATAAATTATGAATGCTCTGATATACCACTTAAGGCAGTCATCTTATCACAAAACTGCAACAGTATTTGTGTAAAATGTGTTTATTGGTTTTGTTTGGATTGAACATGAAAGCTTGAGCGTTTTGCCCACAAAATATACAGGTAATTTTCTTTTGCAGTGTACTCTGTGAAGCGCTTTGAGATGTCTTGAAGGCATGATAAGGCGCTATACCAAATGCAAGGATTATTTTTATAATAACATAGGAAACGGTCTACTTGACTCAATAAATGGAAATCACATTGTAGGCAACTCATGATACAAATATAACACCCTCTTTTCAAAATAGCTATATGATTATCAAATCAACCTCATATTGTTAATTTCACAAACAGAGGTATTGTAATTGTGTCACACCACTACTTCACAACAACATTACTCTTTAACCTCACTGGTTTATTAACGCCTCACTGGTTTATCAAGTTTCTCTGTGGATTTACAAAATTGCCCGATGAAGTGCTAAAGGGAGTAAACTGACCTTACATCTTTCTATTGAGAAAGTCCCAGCATTGAAAGCAATTCAGCTGACATTATTTTTACACAGATTTGAAAACACATTAGTAGAATAAATAAACCTTTTGACCATACCAAAATATTCAGAATTATTAAGACAAGCCTCTAGGAACTTTGAAAAGAGAACATAAGAGCTTTGCTTAAACCAACAAAAATAATGCCAGAATGTGTTTTCTCAATAGCCAATTGTTTATATTTAGCCAAGACACATGCTAGAACTGAACTTTAGATCAGGCAGATAAGAGGTTTGATATGACACACATTGTGACTCATGTACCCAAACAACATAGCTGAAACAACAACTAGCATTTATATAGTGCTCTTCACATAAGAGAATGTCTCGGAAACCTTTACGGTTGCAGGGTTGGACCACAAGCAAGGGAGAAGAGGAGAGGGAGGGGAAGGTGCCCATTGGCACATTTAAAGAGGTAGGTTTTCAAGAGGGATTTAGAGGGGATGAGAGAAAGGGATTGAGATGGGGAATTCCAGAAAATAAGGTAGTGGTTGAAGGTTTGTTCACCGCTGTTGGCGTGGAGGGATCTGATTATGCACAGCGAGCCTGTGTTAGCTGACCGAAGGGGGCGGACAGACGAGTGGATAGGAGCAAGTCAAAAACACAGGGAGGATCTAGTGCGTAAAGAGATTTGTACCCAAGGGTGAGAATCTTGAGGTTGATTTGTTTGGAGTCAGGAGCCAGACGAACCTAGTAAGGATTGCGGTGATGGACGTGAGGAGGTTGGTGTAGTTGAGGACATGGGGCGGAGTTTTGTACCTTGTGGTTGGTGGAACTGGGGAAACCAGTGAGGAATGAGTGTGAGAAATCAAGACAGAAGATGGATGAGGGTTTCCTTGGTATTTTGTGAGTGAGATAAGGGCGGGGGTGGAGGAAATCAATCTTGGCCAGGGACCAAATGTGGTATAAGAATCATATTTGAGGAATGACTCAAACACCAAGGTGGTACATTGAGTTGGTACGTTTGAGAGATAAGAGATAGGCCAGGGAGGTTAAGGAGGTCAGTGCTGGAGATAAGGAAACATTGGCAGGAGCCTAGGAAAAGTGGTAAATATCAAGTTAGATGCATGACAGCATTGACTTTGGAATAGTCTCAGGAAGTAAATTACTTGCGTTTGGCATTCCACCTGCCAAAAGATCTAATCTTCATTCTGGCCTCAACCAAGCATATCATAAAGAACAATAATGCAAACATGAGATTCTATCAAAGAAAGCTGCAAACTGGCATTAACTCACAACTTTAAACATATGCGGCAGCATTAGCCAAATAGCAAATATGCTTCAGTAGATTCAGAAATGCTAAGGAAAAAGATTGTAACTCAGTGTTAGTGCATCAACATACTATAAGTACAGGACCAAGATCAGTTCAACCTACATATTCTCAGGTTCAACTCCAAGGAGTAGCAATAGATCTATATGTAATTATAGGCCTGAACCCACCACCTCACACCTCAGTGGATAAGGTGAATATATTCAAAGATTTTATCACGAAGATTTCAGTAAAGTGTAATTGTTAAGGGTGTAAAATATTCAATACCTGAGACATTTTTTCCTCTCCCAGGATTTTTGTAAAAGCACAATAGTTGGGAATCAACATTTTTATACAATACCCACTTGAACAGTGATAAAAAAGCAACCAGAGGTGCAAACATAGATTTTGTTTTGTAAAGTTGGATCAAAGGTGTGGAGTTTAACCAGATAATGCATAGCTTGTCATTAAGAATACTATCTGGCCAGCTTCTTGTTGTCCATTACCCAGAACCACCGTATCCATTAAGGCTTTGACTTGCAGAGTTAACAGGAGTCAAGTGGAAACCACAGCCACCATGACTGGTCTTCAAAGAGTTGTGCGAAATAAGCCGAGGTACATTCTCATTTATAATAACAACAAATAATAATCCTTGCATTTTATATAGCGCTTTTCACGTCTTCTAGACGTCTCAAAGCGCTTCACAGAATATACTGCAGAATTAATTAACTATATATTTGTGGGCAAAATGCGGAAGCCAATTGCGCACAGCAATGTCCCACAAACAGTCGTGGATTGAAGTGATCAATTTATTATTGTTTTTTTTCTTAAAGGATTATTATCAGGCGTGTGGATTAAGGAAACTTGCCCAAAGTTTCGCCCTGCCAGGAATCGAACCCAGGTCTCTTGCATGCGAGGCGAGTGCTCTAACTACTGAGCTACAGGATTCCACAATGTTAGTACATTTAATGATTGCTTTGTTCTAACTGTAGTTCATTATATTTGAACAGGGTAATGCTAGAGTACATTGCATTATTTGATTTCTAACCTTTAAAATTTTCTAATCCAATGATGTATTGTAAACTGCAAACCAGTCAAACTTTCTACTGTAAAATTCAGTTTTAATCATTTCTGCACTATGTGGTCTGGAAGAAAGTCACTATAATTGGCATTAGTACTAAACAACATAATTCTGATTTGTCAGCATTAAAGACTGAGCACTGTATGTAGTAGTATTTTATAGATTCACACCACATCATTGTTTTAAAACAAGTATGTAGTTATCTTTCATAAGGCAAAATACTGTAGATGCTGGAAATCTGAAATAAAAACAGAAGTCAGCAAGTCAGGCAGCATCTATGGAGAGAGGAAAGTGAGTTAATGTTTCAGGTTGATGACCCTTCATCAGTTCAGAATTGCAGTGCAGATGATATTGACAGACTCACTATCTTGAATACTGGGCCACTCAGTGAGATTCAATGTTGGGTACCAGGTGTGGAATTATGTCCCTGCATGCCTTGAGAGGGGACATCAAAGATATTGATTGGAAGATACAAGGGATATTAGTCCCAATTGTTGATTCTTAATGTTAGCTGGGAGTTGTGGGGGACACCAAGTTTTGCTTGGACTTTGTCCTGTGGGACTGCTCCGAGAAGGGACAAAGGACACTCTGTTCATTCTCAGATCCAGGGCACTGTCTCCAGCAAACCCACCAACATGGTTTATCAGCAGGTCTTGGAGGTGTAGACCAGTCACTGGGGGCATAGTACTCCCATTTAGCTCCTGTTAATCCTGCAAGGTAAAGCCTCAATGGGGTAGGACGGTCATAGGCAACCAGCAGGAAGCTTGCATTCAATGACAAGCTATGCGGTTTTAGCTGGTTAAACCCCAACAACTTCAACAATGCACACCCTGGAGTCCCCAAGCCTTGGCACATGCCAACCTGCATAAGATACTCTCAAAGTTAGACAAGCAAGGTGCACAGAAGAACTCAGTGGAAAAATTGCCAGAGCTACAGTACATCATTGAACAGTACATCATCAATGAACAGTACGTAATCACATAAAGTAGCTCTGGAACTTTAAGGAGAAAATCTAAGTATTCAATGAATCATTTATATCTCTTCTCCCATTTTATTTCTAGTAGATAAGTTTTGAAAAACTGTCATATTTGAAGCATCTCAGTGGTTGAGGAATCTTGTGTGTAAACTGGTGAGCAGCAGTTATAG